TGCTTGTTTTGTAGGATTTCATAAAGCCCCCAAAAGGATAACAGCGAAAAGTGAAATGGATTAGCAAAAATGAAACTCTTTTGTGGCCGGCAACTTGTTTTCCATTTAGCGGATTATGTGGGTCAGTACTGGTGTTGGTTGGCTGCTACTGGTTTAGCTTTATTTCCTGTGCTTTGCTGTTTTGATATCCTTTCACGGCCTACTCCGCCGTATGCATGCAGCCATGCATGCATCTATGCATGCATGTCAGACCCAAAACACAGTTCTCTCGTTTGCATACGCATCCATTGGCAGATATGTGTACCAACATGTGTGCGTATGCTCACTAGCATCTCCGGTGTCAAAGAAAAAGCTGCCGGATTCATGGATATGAACCGCACAAAAAAAACCTACAACACGAATAAAGCTGCAAACAAAAACCTGCGCACATAAACAGAACAATTCACAAGTCATTACTATTGTCAAGTTTTTAATATGGAATAAAAAACAGAGTGCTGTGTTGTGCACGCATGCAAAATGTTTATACATACGTGTATGTATGTACATGTGTCATTTTATGGGCCCCTTGTGGCAAATGCCTGAAACCATATTAAAAATGCTGCTGCTTAATACAGGGTTATCCATTTTTCATGATATATATTTTTCATTATAAAGTTTGAACGTTGATATTATGTGTGAAACACCATATCATTTAAATGATCTCCAGCCAAACTGTTGTAAGCCTTGATTCTTTTTGACACATATCGGATTCTCAGTCATAACTTGACGAATGAAAAGTGTTGAATGTTTATCTGCATAACCAAGGGCTTTCGCGTAGCTCCATTACTAAGTCTAAAGGCATTAAATCATATGAAGAGAAATTACACGATCAGGAAATGTCTCTTGCAGTAAAGCCATATTGGCTCGAGCTGTGTGGATTCTGGGACCGTGTTGTCATAGCAAACAAAAAAGTCGGTAACCATATGACCATAACGCTTCGAATTGACGAGGACATAGGTTCCATCTTCGTTTTCAGAGAAGTAAGGGCCAGGCACACTTTCAGCCCTAGATGTAAAGGCCTATCTTCAATTGCTTAAAAATTTTGTTTATATACACAGTTCGACGATTATGTAAACCATCTCCTATAAAATCATGATATATGGCTGTGGCAGATTCACAATTTTTTGAAAAATTTTCATGCATCTCGGTGTCTGTTCGTAACCATGTGCTAAGCAAGGATATTTAAAATTCGCCTTAAAAAATATTTAATATTGTTACGGGTTGGAACGAGTTACGCGTTAACGATTGGAACTATAAATCTAAAATTTAGTATACAGATTTTTGCAATGGAAATTATTACTAAATATCATACACGGCGTAGCGGGTTATATAGAAATCTAAAATGTTATAACAAGACTACTTTGTAGTGGTGGCTCAAAAACTAATTTTCTTCACAGAACATTAATGCAGGGCTTAAAATGATAATGCAAGATCGCCATGTGAGATAGAGACATCGTAGAAAATTTTTCCACCAATATACACTCCATATTGCATAAACATCACGCTCAGCAACATTGACGTAAATTGTTAAGTCATATTAACTGTGTCTGTGTTGACTATTACAGTTATTCAGTATTCCGCAATATCCGAAATAGCATGGATATGCTAGTATATTTCTGAAAACCCCTCCAAATATTTCTCAGAATGCAGCTAAAGCATCCCAATTTCATAACGTATTCACAAACTGAATATATTTGTGTACACACACAAAAAATAGTTTGTCACATACACATTAAAGAATTAAAAGCGATGTATACAAATATAAACACAAACATACATACATACAAAAAACAGCGCAATAAAACAAGGAAACAAATCGTAGATGCTTCTTGCCAAAGCCACCCTAAAAATAAATCACATGGGTGGGTATACACTGGTGTCCAAAACTAATGCAACTCAAATTGCAAACAGAATAAATAATCTGTAACTTTTTTTAAAAATAATGTTATAGTGAAACTTTTTTCAGAAGTATACAGATATTTATTCATTTAAAAAGAAAAAAAAAAACAAAATATAAACGCATTTTTTTTAAATATATTTTCTATGGAAGATTAAATTGGCACATTATTGGCTTCGCCAAAACTAGGGGGTCGGAAATTCCCCTCCGGGGTATTCCCGGGATTTTTCCGATTTTTTTTTGACGTCAATATTCCCGGGATTTCCCTGGAAAACTGGAAATAATATTTCTAAAAAAATATAAATACAGAATTAAAAATTTCAATGCTAAGAGCATACGCAGAATGAATCCGTTGATCCTTCCCTTGTATTATTTGTTGTCGATAATACAACAACTTCAATTGGGCGATATTTTAACGTGTGTATAAGTGGGAGATATTAATTTTAAAACTGATTTATTTATATAATAGTTATGTTCAGAATTCAAAAAATGATTGATGAAAAACTGCTGGAAGTTTATTTGAAACCCAAATTGTAGCAACTGTGACAGATAGGCGAACTTCACAAAACATTTATTCTAAATGTCCTATAGAAGGCTTGGTTTCCTGGAATCATGCCATAAATTTAAATTATTGTTGATGCTGTCTTGAAAACATTGTAGGATCGAAAAGCTTCGATCGATCATTTAATTTCACAGCTATTACAAAAAGCCATATTTATATCGCAACTAAAGTTTTTGTGAGACATATACAAAAACGTAATTTCAATGAATTGGAATGAAGTGAAATTAAATTATATTGGTTGGTTTTACTATGAAACACATTATTATTATATATTTTAACAAAGTGGTGAATTTATTTAAGGTATCGAATATCAAATACAAAACCAAAACATTTTTCATATAGTTTTTGAAATATGTAAAAATAAGGTATATTTTGCCATTTTTGCCTGGACATTCGTTTGGGCGCAGTTCAATACTATGTGTTGCAAAAACCATACTAAAATACTCTTACCATACTAAATACTCTATTTTTATTTTTAAATGTTATTGCACTACGTATAACGCCCATTTATTATTAATATAATTGTTTAATTAAAAACTATAACATTAGCACCCCTTCATATTTTTAGTTATAAAAGTTGTGAAAATTTCGGGGAAACCGGGAATGAAAAAATATATATATTTTCTTCTTCTGTATCTGAACTTTTAATATTTAATTTTAATTCATCCCAGAACATAATATTTTTCCACTGAGACGGATTCCAATTATTATGAGCTTTTGCGAAAGCCTTCTGGCTTTCCCTTCCGTTTTTAAGAAATAAAATGGGTTTCTTGATAGTTTCTGGGTATGTAGACCTGCTACCATAGCTCGTCCATGCTCTGTTGTTTAGGTAATATCCAACAATAACCCTCTTATCCATTCCGTTGAAGTCTTACGATACGAACTGATCTTTTTTTGCAACCTTCCCCGTGATGAACGTTCACAACCGATTTAGTGGCATAACACCAAATTATAATTCAAGAAATTACGGATTTATTTGTGGAATATTTCTCCAAAATATATTTTGGGATACTTTTTTTACACAATCACTGGCTGTTTTTTTTTTTTTTTGAGTAATGTATTTATTTCCCCTACCCATTTATATATTTTTTGACAGTAAGTCTAAATTGAAAACCGGACACATGTTATTGTGATAAAATCTATTTAAAAATGATCTATAACAGCCCTACCTAAAATTCAACTAGCTTGTTCGACGTTTCTCACCACAAAAGTAGAACACATGTATTTATATGAATTTTACCGAAATACGTCGACGTACGAATTTTTAAAGTGGAAAAATTTCAAATATGACATTTGTTGAATATTGTAAAATTATTGGACACATTTTATAATTTTTAAAGTTTATTTCTCGATTTTGTTTAGCTCGCTAAGAGATATGGACTCGACGTATTTTGGTAATACGGACGTACAAAACATTTCCCCATAGTGGGGAAGTTTAATATTTTTGTACGCCTCGTTGGATCTTAGTTAACGTTGTAAGAATCGATATAGGTGTAAAAATAAAAACATAGGCCACTGTAGAGTTGCCTTAGTTTTGTCCAAGCAAAATTTGAGAAAATTCCCATATATCTATAAAATATTATTTATTTCATTGTGAATTTGCATTACTGCTTTTGTTGTTTAAAAGTGAATAAAGTACACGATTTAATACTGAAAAAAAACTATCACGATATCTTTCTTTTTTTGAAAAAGTTATGCGGCATTTATTAACCAATGCAATTGCAATTTTGTTGCTTTAGTTTTGGCCACCAGTGTACATGGGAATTGATGTGGCAAAATTGCATTGCAGCTTAAAAAATACAAAAATAACAAAGAAAACACAGGAGAAAGAAGAAAAGAGAACAATTCACTATTAACACCCAACGACAGTGACTATAAATCGGTTTAAAAAATCTTTCACGGCTCCAAATGAAATTTTTGTGGCAGCTGCAGTTGAGGGCGCGATTGTTCGCTCCTACAGCTGTTGCCTGCCCCCATGCCAAACGAAGCTTTTATTACAACTGACAGCATCCGATGAAGAAGAGTAACAACTGCATATGAAAAGTTATTAAATCATTGACGTTCGGATAATGGAAAATGGCTGAGAGTAAGATCAAAATATAATAGCGGACTGATACTTCGCATTCATAGAAATAAATGAATGAATGTATATCATTTACATTGTTCATAAACAATTGTTGTCGGGATTTTTTGATTTTTGTAAAATTTTAAATGAAAATCACAGTTCAGAGGCCTTAAACTTTCCATAATCTCGGTGTCATTGTTTAGACTTTGTTCGATTCTTCCAATTAAATACCGCCAGTAATACCACATCTCAATACCTGTTCGTACGGCATCCAATATTATTATTTTATTAGGAAAAGTACAAACCTTTCCACTCAAACCCCCGTTTTATTCCTAATATTCCAACATCATTTAACATTTTTTTTATTCGCTACTAGTGAATTCCGATTGAAAATCCTATTAACACGTAAAATAATACACATTTACATTTCTTTACAGGTACAAAATAGAAGTAGCTGGCAAAAGTCTTCCCTCGCTAACAAATCTGGACAAGGGACGTTATGGTGTTATTGTCTTCGAAAATCTCGACAAATATCTGCACATGGATAAATGGAATCGAGAACTGTTGGATAAATACTGCCGTGAATATTCGGTGGGCATTGTGGGATTTGTTAGTCCCAGCGAAGAGACACTGGTAGCTGCTCAACTAAAGGGATTCCCCCTCTTTGTACATACAAACCTTAGGCTAAGAGATGCTAGTTTAAATCCCGCCTCACCAGTACTGCGCCTGACGCGTGCAGGCGAAACATCATGGGGTGCCTTACCGGGAGATGATTGGACTGTATTTCAGCACAACCATTCCACATACGAACCCATCGAATGGGCTCAGCGCAATAGTCAAGACTATCCATCGGATGCCGGTGGCCAGGTTCATTTGCCATTGACAACGGTGCTGCAGGATCATGGTCAATACGATGGCATAAAGCGTATTTTCTTCGGTAGTAATTTGAAATTTTGGCTCCATCGTCTACTCTTTCTGGACGCCCTTTCCTACTTAAGCCATGGGCAATTGAGTCTTAATTTGGAACGCATGATCCTGGTGGATATCGATGACATCTTTGTCGGTGAAAAGGGCACACGTCTGCGTCCAGATGATGTCCGTGCCCTGATAGCAACGCAGAAAATCATAGCCGCAATGGTTCCCGGTTTTCGTTTCAATTTAGGCTTCTCAGGGAAATATTTTCACCATGGCACCCGCGAAGAGAATTTAGGTGATGATTTCCTGCTACAAAACGTACAAGAGTTTACGTGGTTCTCCCACATGTGGAAACATCAGCAGCCCCACCTGTACGACAACCTGACATTGCTCATTTCGGAAATGCAGCTGAACCATGCATTTGCCGAGGAACATAACATACCCACAGATTCAGGGTATTCGATATCACCGCATCACTCTGGTGTCTATCCAGCCCATGAAATACTCTATGAAGCCTGGAAGAAGGTTTGGGGTATAAAGGTTACTTCCACGGAGGAGTATCCCCATCTACGACCGGCCCGTTTACGAAGAGGTTTCATTCACCGCAATATCATGGTGTTGCCCAGACAGACCTGTGGCCTTTTCACGCACACTATGTACATCGATCGCTATCCCGGCGGAAGAGATAAACTCGACGAGTCCATACAGGGTGGTGAACTATTTCAAACCATTGTTTATAATCCCATCAACATTTTTATGACGCACATGTCCAACTATGGTTCCGATCGTTTAGCTTTATATACCTTCCAATCTGTTATCAAATTCCTACAGTGTTGGACCAATCTGAAGTTGGCCTCCGCTCCGCCCATCCAACTGGCCGAAATGTACTTCCGCCTGCATCCCGAGGAGGTGGATCCAGTCTGGGGTAATCCCTGCGATGATCCCCGCCATCGCAAGATATGGTCAAAAACGAAAAACTGTGATTCATTGCCGAAATTTTTGGTCATTGGGCCTCAGAAAACTGGAACCACAGCCCTCTACACATTCCTGTCCATGCACTCGAGCATAGCTAGTAATATTCCCAGCCCTGATACTTACGAAGAAATTCAATTTTTCAATGGCAACAACTACTACCGAGGCCTAGATTGGTACATGGATTTCTTTCCGTCCTTCGATTCGAACACCAGCACCGTAGCGCCCACAACACATTACATGTTCGAGAAGAGTGCGACGTACTTCGATGGTGAAATGGTACCGAAGCGGGCGCATGCTTTGCTACCACATGCCAAAATTGTAACAATTTTAATATCGCCGGCTAAGAGGGCCTATTCGTGGTATCAGCATCAGAGGGCCCATGGTGATGCGATAGCGAATAATTATAGTTTTTATCAGGTAAGAATTGATTGGAAATTCACGGAACCGTGTCCTTTCAATGTGGGATTTCAAAATTTAATATCACATAAATTTTGAAATCCCACATTGAAAGGACTCGGTTCCAACTACACTACTTTCTATTTGATCATTTCTATTATTGCAACTGTTTTCTGAGCATGGCATATTATCTATCGAAGTAAAAAGAAGGTTTGTCGTTATAAACGAAACTAAAATGAAAAAATATTTCAAATTCAGTGAAAAGGAAAACATGTCAGACTGCCTTGTTGTTGTTGTGTTGTTGGGGGCTTAGGCAAACGAAACAATTTTTTTGATGAATAGAGGAATGACACAGAAATGTGAGAGACTATGAATGAATGAACTCCAAAGCGGGAGTGGGGGTGGCAGTGTATTTTTGTTATGTGGTGCAAGGTGGTGAACTTGTGCTTCGGTGAATGACATCGTATCTAAACCAAAAGCAACACATCAATGATGTTTGAGGATATAAAATTGAAATATTTCTGGTATTGCCAATAGTAACCTAGGTCATCCGATATTTCCATTTGAAAGATAGACATTTGTTAGCTGTAACTTTTATAGTTGTATTTGACATGTACTGTGTCGCACTATGTCGCGAGTTCATATAAACAGTGGCCAAAAATAGAAGGAGTTATCGTAAGTTAATGAAATTTGGTACATGTGCTTATTATTGGCCTAAAGAGCCACTGACAAAAAATTGGATAGATCGGACTAAGATTTCGTATACCTCCCATACAATGGGTCTTGAGAATGTCACCCTTTTTGGCCTATAAAATCTTTAATATTCAAACAAATTCGATGAAAATTGGCAATTTACATTTAATTAGGCCTCTAAAGCAACTGACCAAAAACTGGGTAGATCGGACCAAGATTTGATATACCTCCCATACAAAGGGTCTTGAAAATTTTACTATTTTGGGCTATATAATCTTTAATATTCAACCAAATTCAATGAAAATTGGCAATTTACATTTACTTATGCCTATAAAGCAACGGACCAAAAACTGGGTAGATTGGGCCAAGATTTGATATACCTCCCATACGAAGGGTCTTGAAAAATCCGCTTTTTTGACCTATAATTTTTTTTATATTCATCCAAATTGCAGGAAAATTTTCATGTCTTCTTCCAAATTACATCAAATTTGGGCGAAGAAAGTAATAGGTGCTGTAATTTAGTTGTTGGCCCATATTTCAGGTACCTACCATACCAAAAGTCCCTAAAAATGTAACTTCCTGTACTATAAAATCGTTATATGCAGCTAAATTAAGTATAGTAGTTTTATTTTTATTATAATAAAATACTTGATGTATTTTAGTTACTAATAAATTACTTTTTTATCATTCACAAAATTTTCAGAGATATATATAAAATATTGTCTTCCCAAATGTACGATTTAGTATTATCCACGTTATAATCTCGGGCCTTTACTTTATGGCTGTTTAAGGATATTACAAGGTCGGATTGTAATATAAAATTCTAAATATCCTTATTTAACTCGGCTTTAACAAAAGTTCGGGCTGCCACTAATTATTTGTTGGCATTTGAATATTGACTTGTTAGCATCTTGCGAAAGTCGCTGAAACGGTATTGTACTGCACTTTGCATATCCCATGCCATGAACTAAAATTTTTCTGTATGAACTTTCCACAAATGTAATTCATGAGCGACATCTAAATTTAGATTATAAGATTATGTCTCAAATGATCTGATAAATAAGTATAATCTTCAAACTTACTGAAAATTTATTTAAAAGCTATATTTAAAAACCAATTCTCCCATATCTTCGCTTCGAATAACGTTTTTACCACTTAATTGCAAATTTTATGTAAAATATTGTATTTTTTTATGTTCTGAATACATATTCTCCTTCCTATTTGACCCCAATAACTTATTTAATTGTATACATAACATATTTGACCATTCACTTCTAACCATTTCGTGAATATGCCATATTTTTTCATAAGGTGGTCACCAAAAAAGTAAAATAACTCTTAGGACCGCAGGACTCCGCAGCTAATTTTTTTTATTCCTTAAATAACACACTTTTCACCACTCAAATAAAAAAAATTAGAGCTAACCTTTTTTAAACTTTTTTTCTGCTCCACTAATTTCAAAATTTGTTTTACAAATTTGATGAACTAAGTACTACAAGTGTGGACGACTGTATACACCATATGATATCTATAAACATACAAACTAAAGCGAATCCTAGTTTTTACATCCACAGCAACCAAAATAAACACTTTTATAATAACCGTTAATTTGAATATTCAAATATTTGAGCATCTGAAAAACACACCCATTTTTCGAAAATATGGTAAAAAATCAGTTTATAAATAATTATCAGATTTGAACCTTTGTAGAGACAAAACTACTCGACATATCGATGTAAAATTTCATATTTATTCTAATTGGAGTATTTTCTATCAATCCTCATCAAAAAATTTGTCCTCCGTGGTACTTGGTTTTGACCATTTTTGGCCGCGGTCGTGACACTGTGTGTCGTTAGCAGCGTTGATTTCATAGGTTATCGTTGATTTCAACTTAGATTACCTCCCAAATATATTTATATCATTATGCTTCAACATAAAATTGAATGCTATAGCATTCACGTCTTCGAACGTGTTAATATCTCAATAATTTGCAACGTTCCACTTTTTTTCCTTCGGTCCCACGCCACTCACGCCCGCCCCAACCGACCGTGGGGGCGACCTCCCTATATCGAAGGGAACGCGAAACCCCATAGTCCGGACTATGGAGGGGTTAGTAAATGGTGGGATGACCGGCTACATATTTTATCAGCCAGCATATACTACTATAAATAAACACATATATAATTAAAGTAAATATAGAATCACTCTAATATTTAAAAACTACACAAACTACACATCTGGCACTCTGCTACATACGCAATAGTAATTTTTTTATTATATCTAATGGTTCAGTCAGTGATAAGCTACTATATATATTGTTAAATATTTCACACAAAGTTCGTAATTAGATCTTACAAGCGGTAAATTTATTGGGATGAAGTTACGGGTAGTACGGGATGGAATATTGAAATTTATTTCACTTAATAAATTAGAGGAATCGATTAAGCCACGTATCAATTTTATTATAAAAATCGCCCTTAGCATAAAACGTCTACTTTCAAGGGTAGGCAAATCTATTAACATTAAGCGACTTTCCTATGGGGGGAGCCTTACAGATGGGTCCCATTGTAGACCCCGCAAAGTAAACTAAAGAAATTGAGTTTGGACAGATTCTATTTTATCAGAATAACACTTGTAGGAGGGGCTCCATAAAATACAACCATACTCTAGTGTTGGTCGAACTAAAGTAATAAATAGGCGTTTTGTAACGTAAGGATCATCAAATTCTTTGGACCAGCGCTTAATTAATCCTAATAAAGATTTTGCTTTATTAATGCAAGACTCTATATGGAGATTAAACCTCAGTTTAGGGTCTAATATTACTCCTAGATCTACGAAAGACGAAATATTTTCCAACTTATAAGAACCAATGTGGTAATCAATGCAGATTTGTTGCATTCTGAATATTGATAGCTTCTTACATTTTTTAAGATTTAAAAACATGCCATTGGCGCTACACCAGTTTGCCAAAGAATGCAAATCGAACTGTAAAAGATTATGATGACTTGAAGATTCGATATGCCGGAAAAGCTTAACATCATCAGCATACATTAGTATTTTTGAAAAACGGATAACGGAAGGAAGGTCATTGATGTAGAGAATAAAAAGAAGAGGTCCTAAGTGACTACCTTGTGGAACCCGATAAGACAGTGATATTGCTGGATAATGAGTCATTAAGTAACACTTTCTGCGAACGTAGTAGGTAGGTAGATATATAATTTAAGAATTTTTTAGGAAATCCCATAAGACTAAGTTTATAAAGCAACAGTTTATGAACTACCGTATCAAATGCTTTGCTGAAATCAGTGTATATAACATCTGTCTGCAATTTTTTACTAAAACCCTTGTGAAATTCATTAATAAATTCCAAAAGGTTTGTAGTTGTAGATCTGCCTTGAATAAAACCATGTTGAAAAGGCGATATAATAGATTTTGTGAAATGTTTTAATCTGCGACATATCAATAGCTCAAAAAGTTTAGGTATAGCGCTTAGTTTTGCAATACATCTGTAATTGTCTACCAAACTTCTATTTCCAGATTTGTGAAGAGGGATAATATAACTAGATCGCCAGAATATTGGGAAATAACCCTAGTTTTGCAATACATCTGTAATTGTCTACCAAACTTCTATTTCCAGATTTGTGAAGAGGGATAATATAACTAGATCGCCAGAATATTGGGAAATAACCCTAGTTTTGCAATACATCTGTAATTGTCTACCAAACTTCTATTTCCAGATTTGTGAAGAGGGATAATATAACTAGATCGCCAGAATATTGGGAAATAACCCTGACGTAGAGATTCATTAAAGATCACAGTCAGAGGTAAATAAATTTCATTTGCACAGGATTTAAGAATAAGAGTGGGAACACCATCAGGCCCTGATAGGTTAGATGTACGTAAAGATTTAAGGCCTGGCAAAACTTCATTATTTGTTAGTATAATGCAAGGGAAGTTATTAAGTTTTTCGATTGAAAAGTCATATTGACTACTTAATGCAATAGAGGAATAGGATGATTCGAAGAAATCTGCGAACATATTGGAAATTTCAGTGTTATCAGATGATTCTCTACTTCCATATCTCATACTACTTGGGAATTTATTAACCTTTCTTTTAGAGTTTGCGAACTTATAGAAACTTTTGGGATTATTTTTTAAATTATATTTAATTTTTGAAAGATAAAGTGAATACGATTTTGAATTCTCAGTATTGTACTGATTTCGAGCAACAACATATTTTGAAAAATTTTGTAAAGTATTGCTTTTTTTAAACTTCTTAAAGAGCCTACTTTAAATGACATTTTATAAATACAAAATATGTAATTTTT